GCCCAATGAATTGTGCTTTTTGTGCCGGGATCTACTATTCTGTGTAGTGTCAAAAAAATCCCGTGTGTGCGAACTGTCTCGGCAGTCACAAGACCAATGTAAGAACCTCAGTTTGTAGTTACTGCAAGGACGTAATAGACAAAAAAAGCAATGCTATAATCAAAATCAATAGAAACAGTGGCAACCCCTCGACTTCTCCCCCTCCTCCCAATCAATCACAAATCCACTTCCTGGAATTACCACAGAGCAGCCCACCAGAAAAGTTCACTCACATCTCTAACTCGAATCCTCCCCACACACCACCTCGATAAAATAACTTGAACGGAAATTATCATAGACTTCGCATACCTGATCGTCAATCAAAGAATCCTATTCTCTCCACAATCATTAATTTCATCACAACTTGTCTCATCACTTTCATGAATTTATTAATAACGTCAATCAAAGTTTTCACCAGTAACATTCACAGTTCGGAGGAAGAATGCCTTAACAGCCATGACAAATAATAGTAATATTAATATTATTAATAACAATAATAATAACAATAATATCAATATTAGTAAATTAATCTTACTAAACTGCAATGCCAACACTAACACAACTTCCGTACTAATTCGCTTTTTACACCACTACAATGTCGATATAGCCAGTATTTCCGAAACACACTTAAATAAAAACAACAAACTATTTATTCCTAATTAAACAATGCATAGGACAGAGAGGCATAAACCAAACGAGGTAGAATTCTCATAGCAATAAAATCTAGTTACTAACCCAATTGAACAATATTCCCAAACACACCAAGCTTAGACATTGTAACAATAGAAGTAATCGTTAATAATAAATTTCGAAAATAATATGTGCTTACAAATCTCCTACTACCAAAATAGCCAACACTAATATACAAAATGTATTCAATCGAACAAAAAAATTTTACTTTTAGGAGATAGCAATGCTAAACACCCAAATTGGGGATGCCGAAACACAAATCGAGACGGAAAAATATTAACACAATAAGCAATCACAATCTTAAAATAATATCCCCCAGTGAACCGAGGTTTTTTTTCATTAGATCGAAAATGTAGTATCTAGAAGGACCCTTCTAGATATTAGCTTAATCAATACCAACAATAACATCTACACAACAGTAATATTTGAATTACATTCTTATCGCATACCTGTTATTGATTATAGTTTAAACAAATAAGGTTTCTTCGAGAACTTACTATTTTTATATTTTATGATGTTGGAAATATTCTAATTTAGATAATCGCCACATAGGAAGTTGCGCTATCCTGTTCTGCGGGAGTGGAGTTGAGAAGGCCTTGTCCGCCTCTCGCGAACGGTGGAGAGAGGAAGGGCCCGCGACCCCGCGGTGTCTCGGACTTCAAAGTTGTGCGATGTTGCCTCATTGGGTCGAGTTGGGTTTTTGTATTTAGAGTAGTGTTTTCGTGATCAGTTATGTTACCTGTTCAAGAAATTCTGTATTCCAACCAGTATTTTCAAGAAAATAATGTTGCCTTTATAAGAAGCAAACAATCTTTGTGGCCACGGAGAACAACTCTCAGCCAGAATCTGAATTCATAATGGATTCGTGGTCTACAAGTCAAGCTGAATTACAACCTCAGCTGTTTCTTCAACAAAAATACCAGCAACAACAATTCATTTCATATCAGATGCCGCAAGGAACAGTAAAAGCAATGCCTTTGCCATTTCTCCCACCTGCAGTACATTCGTCTAGTTCAAGTCCATCCCATGTAGTTAATCCAGAACTTAATGGAACCAACAGTAATTTAACTAGTGACAACAACACTGAGACTTACATATCCCAACAATAAAAGAAGAAATCAACTAGACAAATGCAAAATATCTACAACGACTACATAACCATCCCAATGTTATCCATCAACTTACTAGACAATAGTGACACCTCCAAGGCTTAAACGCCATCATACTTCAGACATGGCATATCGACTGAAAATAAACTGTTCTATGCATTTATTATTGTATCAACTTATTATTAACAACTATGAATGAAGTAATATTGGTTTAATGTGGTCAAAGGACTCTACTCCTATCATTTGCTAATAGCACTAATTCATGCAATTTTGCCAAATATTTGTTCCCAAAGGAATTGCAAAATAAAAATTATTTAATTTTTTCAAAAGAAAAATACGTTATTGTCTCGTCACAACACACCAAGATCAACGTAACACACGTAAAATAAACGGGAGAAAGTACACAGAGACAATAAAACAATCAATGCCGGGAATAAAAATCCCAAACAATCCACTCGAAATAGAGCAGTCAGTAACAACATTAATCGACCTAGTCGACTAATTTTAGAAGCACAGTCTTCCACTACAGACAACAGAACACAAAGAAAATACAATAAAAGCAATATTTAACAAAATCTAAAATAATATTTCAATAGGTCAGCCGGGCAACGGTCTATGCGTCTATTAACGGATGTAAATCTCTCACGATGTGTCATTTATTTGGTCGTGAGAGATGTAGGAGTAATTTCCATTCCGCTTTCCATCTGATCCCTCTTGATTTACTGCATTTGTTAGATAAGGGAACAGAATATGGTGACGAAAAGAAGAGACTCTAAAAAATAATTCGTTCTATTTTTTTCAATTATTTTTTAATTCGTTCCATAAAAGTGTTTAAATAATATACATTTTTTAATAAAAAATCGTACTGCAAGTTACAAAACGTTTTTAGATACGAGAATAGAACACAAAAATAAGAACTAAAGAATTTGTAATTATTAGAATCGTGGGACATGTGAATGTCTATGATTCTTAACTCTAATATTATTATTAATTACATAATTATAGATTCTCTAAAGACTTAAAGAATGACTACAGTAAAACGTATTACTTATCGTTTCCTATTATCCTATATTTTTCTTTTCAATTGAATTACTTCTCAAGGTTTGCAGGTCAAAAAATTAAAGAAATTTGCATCAACGTAATTTGAAATTTCATGTTTATGTTTTCTCATTCTTTCGGAATGCTTAAACTTTATATCACATTATGGCATAATTTTACAATGCTAAGTAGATAATAACACTAAGTGGAATATGATTTATATGTTATATTTTTTTGAAATAGGTTTTTATTTTACAAAAAAAGGTATGCGAATGTTTAGAACTGATATTTATGTTCAGTTTATGACATCAAAAGGGGCATTCAGCGAATATTTAGCCGGTTCATGAGAATTTAGGAGTTACAAAAGCTTGTATTTAAAAAAAAGAATTCTGCTTATTCAGTATGTAAAGGATGAAGTTTTGTTTGAGTCCATTTGTTAAAATATTTATATGATCACAGCTATTTCATATGGCTACTCTGCCGATTGCGTTCTGCAAAATGTTACTTTACGCTTGGGCATCGCTTGCTTACCGCAAATTGTAATCCATAAATTGAATTAATGATTTCAATACTTGGGGACTGAATCAAAATGTTCTTAAACAATAAATTGCAAGATAAAACGTTTGATATGGATGGCTCACACATAGAACTCATCAAGTTCGCACTCTCAGTTTACTGACATTTGAAATGTTTTTTTTACAATTATGAGCCAATTAAAGACAAATTTCAACTCAAAAAAAAAAAAAAAAAAGGTTTACCTACAGCAGATGTGTTGTGATACAATGTGTTGTGAAAAAGTGGCTCAACCGCACGTTGCCATTAGCAGCAAGTCAAAAAGTAGTTATGGCATATTTTTGAAGTAGTTAATCTCTAATTACAGTCACAAATAAAAACTCATTCAAATTAGCTAGTAAAAGAATGATTTTCAAATATTGTGGTCCACCATGTCATCACTCCACTTTAATAAAATTGAAAAATAATAACGGCATAAATTTTAACTAAATGACCATTGATTTGAATTCGCCAATAAAAAATAAATCTGAAAGGAACCTGAAAAAGTGGATTTCACAAGAAGTAGTCCGTTGGTTTTGGCGTGATCAGTGCGGTATGAGTATATTGATAATAGGGATCTTGTCATGAGATGTGTGTATGGTAATGGTTATAAATAAATTGGGTAAAATTTTTAATAAAATGTTGTTTTCGGGGGATGACTTCTATAGGCCCTCCTTGGACCCGACAATGCATAACAATTCAATCGTTTATTTCATAAACTGGGCAAGTGCCAAATTTGCTAATTACGAAAAAACGAAAAAACTGTACTACCTCAGACTATTGTTTGTAGTTTTCTATTTAGTTTTTGCTAAAGTTAGTATATTTTAATAACTTTGGCTGAAGAAAAAAATAGAGAAACATAATATTCCATTATCGACTAACGTTTTGGCACTGGACTTGTCTATGAAATAATCGATTTAATTACATATCCATTTTACATCCGTCTAAAGGTTTCTCAGAGTAAATGTTATAAACTACTAGGACATGAGTTTTTGAAAAGATGAGTTTTTTCCCGTAATAAATAGTGCGAAAATTCATATTTGGAGTTACTCTTGTGACCCGTGAGTGTTGGGCAACTCCTCATGCTCGTTAGGAATTGGCTAGCAAATAAAAGGCAGCATGTGCAACTCCATGAAACGAAATTTCTCACCATACATTAATGGGCAAAAAGTGATAATCTTAGAGCGTCGCGTGTGTGATAGAAGTTCTTTAGACTCATTTATTACGAGACCCTCCCCCTGCCTTTGCTATTGGTGTGGCGGCCAGCGTGACGCGCGGTGTGGCGGTGCGTGGCGTGGCTCAGGGGTGGGGCGCGGCGCGAGGCGGGCGGCGGAAGTCGTGGGTCGGGGCGACATCGGAGATCGGGACGTCTTCTTCATACTCGTAGTCGTCGAAGTTGTTGGGAGAGGAAGCGGCGCCGTGCAGGGCGTTGAAGGTGTCTCTGGGAGCGAAGCCCGTAGGGTCCTCGTAGTCGCTGGGGCTGGGCTGCGCGCCGCCACCGCCACCGCCGTGCAGGGCGTTGAAGGCCGCCCTGGGCGCGTGGGACGCGAGGCCAGGGAGGGGCTGGCCGCCCCATGCCCCAGCGTGCAGGGCGCCGCCGCTCGGGAAGTGCACCGCGTCGGGGCCAGCCCCGCCGCCGCCGCCTGCGCCGAGAACGACGGGCTCAGACTGCTGGCAGAGTAGATCTACACTATGTGATCAAACGTATCTGGACACGTCCAAAATGGTGTTAGGATGTGGTCGTCTTTTTCATGGAGCATCTTCCGCCCCTTGTTGTTTTGTGTGGCACTATCACAGGAGAGGCCTACGTTAATGTTTTAAACACCTTCCCACTGTTGAAAAGCAATTCGGGGATGGCCCTCGGGAAGCAAGCCTTTGTGGTGTTTTAGAACGCCGAACTCGTGCCAGGTCCTACCAGGTTCTCCATTCCCCAGAAGCCTTCCAGCACCTGATTGAAAGTATGCCTGCGAGAGTGGAAGATGTCATCAAGTCTAAGGGTGTGCCAACACTACAGTGAATTCCAGCATTACCGATGAATGGCGCCACGAACTGGTAAATCATTGTCAGCCACGTGTCCGGATACTTGTGATCACATAGTGTATATGTTTTTGTGTAATTTATGAATACGTACAGTGTACATACGTACAGCATAAATGTCGCAAACTTCTCAGACATGTACAATGATAGAAAAGGAGCACATTTGCTAAAGGACAATAGGTGGAAATGTGATTTAACAGTTATAATGGCATTTTTCCTGATTTTTAGGCATCACCTTATCCATAGATGATCGGCACGTTACGTTCTGAGAGAGCCAAGGATGTTTTATTTATTTGACATTAACATTACGCAATAGGGCAAAACAGTGAAGGGAAATCGCATGTTCATAAATACATATAATTCAGTTTCATGCAATTTCAGAGTATAAGTTCTTCGAAAAAAATACGACTTTCTGCGATGCTAGAAAAGAAGACTGTGAGCAGCCCCCTCCCGGTGCATAACGTGTACTTAACTAGCAGGACTAATCACGCGTCCAGAAACGCTGACTCACCTGTCAAGGCAGACACGGCGTCCCCAGGCGGCCGGGCGCGCGGGCGCGCGCGGGGCGGGCGGGGCGGTGGTGGGGTGGGGGGCGTGGTGGGAGTTGCGTTAGGCATCGCATCAGGGACTCCACCCGCGCGTCCCGCCGATCGACGCACGCGTAGCGCCCGAAGATGTGGGTCAGCATCAGGTCTCTGCACGTGACAGCGCCGTCGTTATCGCAGTCCTGCAAACGCATTTTGCACTTTTACCTTTTGACGTTACTACGTACGAGGTAAAGAGAAAGTATTTTAGTGCTCCGCCAAATATCGGCGTTTTTTAACAGAAAAATCGCATTGTTGGGTCGTGCTACTGAAAAAGTGAATACACCATTTCCTACATGTATAAATCACTCCGTAACACGTTGTGAAGTCAAACCACGTGCCGTGAGTCTTTGATACCAAAAATCGACTGGCGGGAAAATTTCTATCTGCCTGTCTGTCCCTCCGTCCGTCCGTCCGTCCGTCTGTAGTCAACGCTAGCTCCTATGTGTACGTAGGCTTCCGCGGCTCGAATTCATGAATCCCGAGAGCCCAGGCAGGATAGTTTAAATCACCGGGCGCGTAGCGCCGCAATGTCACTGCCCTGAGGAAGCCTGCGAAATGTCAGGCGAAACATCCGCACCCCAGCCAACGACGCGGCGTCTCCCGGATAGCCGAGAATTCACGCTAGCTCCTAAACTATTCAAATGATTTTCTCTAAAATGGGTTTTCCTTGCGAGGCCTTGCAAGTTTGAAACAATGATTTTAACTTTGGGGGGTAAATCCTCAAACAAATCCTCAAATCCACTCAAACTTTTCTTAAAAATAGCTTCAATTTTTACCTTCCCGTATACATACGTATATACGGAGTAATATACGTTGTTGGAGGGATAGTTATGTAATTCTGCGGAAAATCGATTTCGAGATTTCAATGGTTTGAGGGCCCCTGATACCGAAAAAGTGGTTTCTTTCAATCGTCTGTCCGTGTCTCTGCCCGTCTGTCTGGTGTATGTGAACAACACTAGCGCATAAACCATGAGAAGGAGTTTTTTTTCCAAATTGAAGAAACTCCGGTCCATTTTGTCTGAGTCAAAGCTCTTCGATTTTGAAAATCATTCATTAGTTTTTGGGGGTACTTTACATGAAGCCCCTGGAACATTATTAAAATGTTCTCAGAAATGATTCCAATTTTTTTTTTAATTTATTCCAAGAATGCAAAATACACTTACAAAGGTGGCAGAGGTCCGATGTTCGTGCTTCAAACTTTTTGATAAGGATATTGCTAATTGCGTTCTTTAATATGTCGTTAAGTTAATTTCATTTCATTTCTGTTTTTCAGAAATTACAAAAATATAATTTTTTTGAAAAGTTCTCTCACGCCGTCATAATGTACATTTACAGCAATTCGTAAACACTATTGTATTTGTGTGTTAATGTGCTTTATATGACTTTTAATGACTTCAAAGGAAGTTTTTCGAAAACAAAAATTGTCTGTGAAAAGGTGCTTTAAATTTCGAATTTACTGTAGCGCTCAAGTGCCTTTTTCTAAAAAGCGGCTCCAAATCCTTCAAAGAAAATTGCCAATTATGACGAGGTATTCTTGTTCTATACTCGTAATAGTCTTAAAATAATATTCCTGTTCTTCTATTAGGAAACGAAATATTTTAAAAATTTATAAAATATGTACTCTGCGGGCGATAGATTACCACAAGTGACAATTTCGAGTAGCCAGCCGAGAGCAAAAAAATAGAAAACTAATACGGGAAAGTCTGTGCCTTCTGTAGCACCACTAGCTTTTATTAATTTTTTTCCTCGTAAAGCGTAAAGGACGCTTAATAATTGCCTTATTTTTGTTGGTATCCCTGGGTTTTTAAAAACCATTAACGTGGGTTGAAAACATTTTACATTTGAAGGCTTAAAATTAATCTGGTGTCTCACTTGACCTTACCTGCAAGGCGGGACCAGTGTTCATGTAACCGCGAACAGTCTGCACGGCGCAAAATGGCTCCTCCACACAGCGCTGAAAAGCTGTGGATTGAAAACAACCCTTTATTTTAAGAAACACAGTTATGTGTATCTGTACATTATAGTACTATTATTAAAAAGTATTATTACTTTTACTATGAGAAGAATCTATTTTACAATACATTAAAATTTTCTTCCAGAAATATTACTTGTCTTACATTTTATTCTCGGGAGTTACATTTTCAAATCATTTAACTATTACTACTATATAAACTTATGTATAAAAATGAACAAAGTTGTTTACATAAAAATTGAATAAATATAGTTAATTTACAATGCTCAACTGCCTTGAAAATAGAAAATAGCTAAAAAATATTTCACCAGATGAAGCGAACTATAGATTGTAAAGATCGCAATTTCAATCTCAATAACATAACTGACTCTGACTAGATCACGGAATTTTAAACACAAAAAGTGATGAATTATGTACCTAAAATAGGTAACAAAATCATTAAAATAGCCGCTATTGAGCATAAAAAATGGCGTTTTAGGTACTTAAAACTAGTTACAAAATTATTAAACCGGGTATTTTAAAACACTCGACATGAAAAGTTATGTTTCTGGTATCAAATTTGATCAGAAAAGGATAAAATGAGGCACTTATTCTTCGATAAAACCAAGTAGTTTTACATTTATGAGAGCATTTTTTGGTCTCGAATTGGCCATTTTGGGCCACGCGAACGTGCAAACCACCGGGGCTCAGACATAATAATCGAGGGTAGGTGCACGTGACTTTTAAAGGGGGAATCAGCATTTTTATGCTGAATTCGATTTTACACTTAAGGTTGTTACCCTGATATATGAGGTTAAACGATAATGATGACGAAGGATGAAATGGACAATTACAAACACACGGAGATACGAACACACCCAAACGAGCGATCCTTCGGTCCATGACGACAAGGGCAAACCGCCTCATTGATCTCGGCTACCCGAGTACCCATACAAGCATCTTATTTTCTTCACTTTCATTTTTTTTCATTTCACTCATTCTGTCATACTTTTTGTTCGCAACCTGTCAATATCGCAGCTGCTTCGGGGATGGGTCCAATTGCCTAAGAAATCTGATCGGAGATGAGCGTGAAACGTCCTTCCTTATCTTCCGTGTATCGGGTGAGATATTTTGGTTTGTGATCGATCTCGATCATGGAATATTCGCGTTTCAGGTTATTTCATAGTTACTTGTTTCAGTAACAAAAAGGGACTAATACGTATTTGTACTAAAATTCGCGGTCTACTCATACCAGACATGTCTGTTGTCGTGTTTCGTTTTTTAAACATATTTTGAAGGCAAATTAATTTCTGTATTGAAGTAGTCAAGTTTGAGCGTTGAAACCACGCATACGTCTTCATGAGGAAACTACAGTATGCACTAAGTAACGCATAAAGGCGGAAAATCTTTTTTTGTTATATCCGGAATATAGCAAATTTCCCTCTGACACAGCCCCGGAAAGAATTTCGGTTCCGATTTCGTAAGGATGATCGCCACGGGAAGGAAACAGTTGCGATTGTCCGCACTGCGCGGAAATCAAATGTTGCAAGAAAAACTCCGGCCGTCTGAGAGGAAGCTACTGTTACAATTATTGTCCTCCGATGCGTGGTCAGGGAGGTCCTAGGTTCAATTCCCGATGGTAGATTGTTATTGGAACCCAGTTTAGTAACTACAATGAATTACGTCGTTAAAGGATGAATTGCAGTGGTCAGCTGACCGATTTGGAGTTTCCTTCGCGGAAACCACAAACCACAACAGATAACCTCGTTTGTGGTCCTGTGTTTTTGCATTCATTATATTTCACATTCATTTACATAAATTCTCAAACCTTGTCATTTGAATTTCCAAAAGATGCACAATAATCTCGTAACAAGCAGTGAAGTCAGTGAGTGTTTCCGGGCGTCAAGTAATATGGTCATTGGTTCCGAGAGAAAAAGAGGAAGTGAGGAAGCGAGGAGAGATAAATAAGAAAAAGAGGCAGAGAGGACGAGAAAGAGAATAAGAGAGAAAGCGAAAAAAAATAGAAACAGATAAAGAGAGGAAGCGTGAGAAGAGAAAAAGAGAGGGAAAGAGAAAGAGAGGGAGAGAGAGAGAGAGAGAGAGAGAGAGAGAGAGGAGAGGCAGAGCGTAGAACGCACCTCCGGGCAAGTCCTTGTCGTCGCCGGGCAGCACGGGCTTGCCGGCGTCGATCCAGTAGGGCAAGGAGATGCAGAAGGGCCCGAAGGTGTCCACGTGCGTGCACTTGCCGCCCGTCACGCACTCGCCGCTGCGGCCGTTGGCGCGGCACACGCACGCCAGGCACGCGTCGTCCTGCTGCGGCCCCCGCTGCAACCCACCGCACAAAGAAAACGCATTACAAAGGGGAAAACAGTATTTTCATTAAATGTTCAAGTTACGTAAACACAACGGTCAAAGAACATGGTGGAGAGATGAGGAGAAACAGAGAAAACGAGAGAAAGAGATAACAACGACAGAGGGTAGTATGAATAATAGTAAGCGATTACTCTTTGCTCCGAGTTTCGTAGATCCTTCTCATGAAAATGAAAGCTTCTAAAAGTAAATCTATGACATTTAATGGAACATTATCTTCACCAAAATGCAATTATTCTTTCACATATCAGAAAATTCCATTTAGAAAAAATTATAGATACCTGCAATACAATGTAACTATTTTATAGTTTCATAAAAATTGGACATTTGTGTCTCTTGGATATTTTGTTTTGGATATTTATGTTAGTGGACGTTTCTGTCTTTTTTCAGACATTTTTGCAACGGACGAACATGTCAATAGACATTCAAAAATTGATATTTTAACTTGAAACCGAATTCAGTATTTAATACTTTGTCAAAGTCTTCACTTTATAATGAGACATTTAAAAGAAGAAATGCAATCCAAAGGATAGGCATATACGCCATTAGTCAGAACGTTAGTGAAAGGGAATACCACGTTACGTGTAGTACATTGCGACAAACAATTCACGTGATTATTCGACTTGTTAGGGGATAAAATGCTTTGGTCTTATATAATTTATTCAGAAGAAAACTCGCCGCCAAAAGGATGCAGAAATGTCTAAAAGAGTTACGCAGTCTTATCGAGAGGGTTCACTGCTTTAGGAATCCTTGTATATGAATCGAGTAATCTGAGTTCGCCCATCACTCACGGCCAGCCCCCTCCGACCCACACCGAGGCTCGTGAGGTGCCATTCGACGGGCCTCGGCCTTCTGGTGGGAAACATCGTTTTGTGTGGATCCATCAAGAGTACTAAATTTCATCAAAAAAACTGTTTCCTTTTTAAGCACCTAAAACGCGTTTTGGGCGACTTTCGGCACGAACAGAGATGTCCAACCCTCATTCGATTCCACTCAACAAGATAAATCTATTCGCTGAATTCTTATCCAGCTTCCTGAAGAATATTCTGAAAGAACTCTAAAAAAATAAGCGTTTTGTTATTTTATTACACTTTGCAGTGGTGAAACTCTGCGTATCACTACTCTTTTACTTCGGCATTTACATGAATCTTACGTTTTGATTCATCAGATTAAACATAATTTTCTTATGAAACAATTATATTAATCGATAGTTTTTCGTGTAAATTTCTATGATGGAAAATGATCGAACGGCGCCATGGTAATATGATTAAATTTTATTTTTATTGTGAACTTTCTAAGCAGATATAAAACTTTTTAACGTGAAAGTACACGCCGGAGCGTCGTAGTAAGCTGGTACGTTGTAGATAAGTATTAGGGATGCGACATCGCCAAAATCATCGATATTCAAATTTGAAAAAAAGAACATCAAAATGTATCGACACAAATCATCAATGATTTTAAATATCCATGTTTTAAAAGGGTTTAAGTTTAAAGTAAAGGTAAAAGTTTAAGGGTTTAAAACCTCAATGTTAAGAAGAATTAACAAAATGTAATAGGGTAATACAAAATTAATACATTACAAATACATTACATTCATCAATAAAAAGTCCACCAACTAACCCTTTGACACATTAGTCGGAAGAATGTTCACTTTATGGTTATCGTAAATTATAGTAGTTTTTTATCTTTGTACATTTATTGAAACATAAAATATTAACCACGTAAAAACCCCGATAACAAGAAATTGATGATAAAACAAGATATATCCACTTTTTCGTTACCGGGGCCCGACATTATTGTGCGTTTTTCGGTCAAAAAGTTTTCGGGCGCACATTACAATACTTCCTTTTCTATGTAATTTATGCGAGAAACTAAAACAGTGGCTTCAATAGATCGATGTTTACTGTTTTGAAAACATTTTCGACGATGCAGCATCACTAGAAAGAACGGTGTGGCAAAGCAAAGCCGCTATCACTGACCGTGTTGACAGGCCCCGCCGCGGCCCAAGTCACCGCCGCCGCCACCGCCAGCGTCGCCAGCGCCGCTCGCGCCATGGCCCTCCTCGTACTGACGCATGGCGTCGCGACGCGCCAAGACGACGGAAGGCCCGACACCGCATCCGCTGGGCGTTGCCCCCCCCCTCGCCCCCTCGCCCCCTC